TTGGCACAGCTTCTGCTCTCTAAATACTCCCAGCCAAGAGCTGGGATGTGCTTTCTTACAATAAAAAGTTGCTGGGGAAAAAAGAAAAAGAAAAAAACAACACAACAATCCACAAAGAAAATGGCTTCAGGACTGTTCCCCTCTTGCCCGTATTTATTCAAGCTGTCTTCCTCTCTCTGCAAATTTGGCAAACAGAGTCTGGCATCCCAGCTCGGGGGACACCTGTTAAATAAATAGGCTCAGTCTCTAACTGCTGCATTCATGGCAGAGTTTCCTGGTTCCCTTAGGCAGCTAATTTTTGTTGATTATCATACAGTACAGAGGGATTGTTTGTGCCTCTGCCTCCCATCCCGGCTCTGCCGCTGGTACCAGGCGTGTCCGCGTGACTCAGGCCCGCTGCCTGTGTGGAATAAAGAGTGATTTGATTCTATCATTTTACCATCTGTTAGTGTGGATCACAAGGCAGGGAGAAGCAGCCAGGTGGGTTCTTGTGGGGGTGAACTGAGCCCCTGTTGATTTGCTTGGTTTTCCCGTATCGACGCGTCTTCGGAGAAACCTGAGAGCTGAAGCAAAGCTTAACTGGGAGCTGAACCAAGGCTTAACTGAGAGCAGGAGTTGCTGTTGCCTGAGGCAGAGAGACAAACAAACTCACTAAGAGGCAACAAATGGCCTGGGAGGCGCTCAGAGAAGGACTGAGCAACATCAGGCATCAGGGGGCTGGATTTTAGCTTTGAGAGCTCCAAGATACACAGAGGAATTTGAAGTTTTGGCTGCCCCATCCCTGGAATTTTTCAAGGCTGGGCTGGACAGGGATCTGAGCAATCTGGTCTAGTGGAAAATATCGCTGTCTATGGCAGAGGGTTTGAAGAAGATGATCTTTAAGATCCCTTCCAACCCAAACCATTCGATGACTCTATGATTCTATGAATTGAGTTGTCCCAGGACATGCCTAATCACAGAAGCAGACCTGAACAGCTTCACACAACACACAAGGCAACATGGAGAAGGCCTGGAGCCAGGTCAATTAGGTGCTCTACATCATCTGGAGTCTATTTCTCCTGAGCTGGGCCTCAAAAGTTACATATGGTGCTGGGCTGGGATGTTTTCAGAGGAGAACTTATCCCTCACAGCCTTCAAATACAGGCAGAGAGAGCTCATGCTCCATTCCCTGACCATATGGTCTGGCTGTCTAGCACAGCCATCTCCAGCAATCCAGAAAGTTGTCTATCCAGAGAGGTTGGGATTTTAAAGGGAGTTTAGTTTTTGGTGCTGTTTTGTAATTCACAGAATCATAGGAACATAGAATGGTTGGAGTAACCTCAAAGATCATCTAGTTCCAATCCTCTGCCATGGGCAGGGACATCTTCCACTGGAAATGTTGTTCAGAGCCCCATCCAACTTGACCTTGAATAATTCCAGGGATGGAACATCCACAGCTTCTCTGGACAACCTGTGCCAAGTGTCTCATCACCCTCACAGTAAAGAATTTCTTCCTAATTTCTAAGTGCTCTCTTTTTAAGTGCCCACCAGCTCTCCTTGAGCTCTAAAGTTTCAGCAACGAACTTCAAAACTCAACAACCAGTGGAGGATGTTGTGTAGTCCAGAGAAAAGCAGGATCCAGGGCAATATTATTGCTTTGTACAGCTGCCTGAAAGGAAGTTGCAGAGACGTGGAGGTCGGTCTATTCTCCCGGGTAATGACTGACCGGCAACGAGGAAATGTCCTCAGGTTGCACCAGGGGAGGTTTAGATTGGATATTAGGGAAAATTTCTTCACCAAAAAGAGGTGATCAGGCGTTGGAACAGGTTGCCTGGGGCAGTGGTGGAGTCACCATCCCTGGAAGTGTTCAAAAGTCATGTAGATGTGGTGCCAGGGGACATGGTTTAGTGGTGGATTTGGCAGTGCTGGGTTTGACAACTGGACCTAAATCTTAAAGTTCTTTTCCAGCCTTAGTGATTTTATGATTCTGTTCTGTTTCTTGCTAAGTTTAGGAAGCAGATGCCAATGGTCATTTTGGCTATTTTCTTTCCTCTGTCTTGTAATCTCCATTTCAAATTCAGTCTCTTGCACACCCAATTGGAGTATCTCAGTACTACCCATGTTGTGGGCAAGACATAAGTTGCATGTGGAGGGGATATCCTTTGTCAAACCAAGAAACATATTGGAAATGTTAGAAAATCATGTTCACACACACAGTTTTTGTCAGCCTAGACTGCTCTGCCCTCCTGGGAATGATCTAGAAAGGGGTGGGTTCACTGCAAATATCACAGAATTAAGGGTGGGATTTCTGCCAAGGATTGAACTGAGAGGAGCAGCCCATCTATTTCTGTGCATTTTGGACTCTAGTATGGAATTGTACTCCTAAGGGATTCTCCAAACTGGCTAGAAAGATTCACAGTTTATTTCTGAGCACAGAATAAACTGAGTCTATCTATAGATTTGGCTCAAAACTGGAACTCCCTGGGAATTCCACTGAAAAATCCCCTCCGTTTTCTTTTCAGAGATAATTATTTTGAGATGGCATGAAACTCTAATCTCCTGTGGAATGGGAACTCTCACACTCAGTTTAGATGAAGTTGTGAAGGGATTCCCTTTAAATCTTTTTCAAGCATGTCTGAAGCTCTCTGAGGAGCCTGAAAGCCAATCTGCCAGCTCTGGAAAAGATGGGAACCTGAGCAGTCCTGGAAATCCTGAATAAAAGCCAAATACAGTGTTGCGAAAAATTTGGGCAAAACTTATTTCCCATAGGAAAACTGTTGATATTCCAAAAGCTCAATTTTCTCAGATGAAATAATTGTTGTGAAAATATCAGTTATATATTTACACATTTTAAGGTTTGGGTTTTTTTTTGTTATTTCTAAACCAGTGCACATTAAATGGCAGTGACACTGCTATCCCACATACAGAATCATAGAACCTCTTGGGCTGGAAGTGACCTCAAAGATCATCTCATTCCAACCTCCCTGCCATGGGCAGGGACACCTTCCACTATCCCAGGTTGCTCAGAGCCCCACCCAACCTGACCTGGAACATTTCCAGGGATGGGGAGTCTGAAACCATTCTGGGCAGAGATAAATATGAAAGATTATGCAATTCCCATCATAACCTGATGGAGTCCAGCCTTCCAAAAAAAACTATTAAAAATTCTTAACCCTGACGTCTATGATTTCACCCAACACACAGAGAAAGCAGAAGAAAACTCACTTTTTTTGTCCATGTTGAATGAGAGACATTCACCTGACTCCTGCCATGCCCTTACCAAACCATCCCTAAAACAGATGCACATCTGCACCCCTGGAAATAAACTGCCTAAAGAGAACAATTTCTTTATCTTGTCAAAGAGACGAGTGCAGTGGTTTGCTTGCAACACATGAACACGGATGATCCAATTCTCCTTTTCTTTCAATGTCCTTAGTCCCTCCAGCTTTTCACGTCCTGCCTGTATATACCTTCTTGGTCTGAGCCCATTCTTATTTATCAGCCCCCCCTACAGTGGGGAACAGCAGAGCAGACCTGGTGTTGTAGAGCTGGTTGCATTAATAACTCTGTCTCCACTCAGGGTTTCCCTGGCTCGACATCCAAGACCGCATTCCCTATTTTAGCTCACCACCCTTCAGTGGGACTCTGCTTGCCTGGCTGGATGGGTTTTGCAAGGCACAATCCCCTTCCCTGTGTGTTATTTCCATTCTTTGTTAAAGCCTGACCCTGCAATGAGACAAATCTAAACACATTGTGCTGGGATAAACCCTGGTGGTTCAGCCTCAGCTGCGAGGAGCTGGAGCAATCTCCTGTTTTCCTCATGTTCATGACTGATAAAAAAGATAAATTCTTAGCTCTGGCTGTGAGATGGAGTCTTAAAAATGCCATTACACCCCGGCTCTTTGCTTTGCTTGAGGTCTCTCAGTGGATCAGTTAAGGAGTGTCTGACTAGCAGCTAAAATCCCCTTTATAAAAATATTTGCTGTGCAGCCTGAGCAGAAACTCAAGTACCAGGAATTCTTTGCTGTCCAGTTCTCATTCCCTGTGATTTTAGCTCTTTAATCATTCATTTTCATGGAACTGTAGAATCACAGAATGGTTTGTGTTGGAAGGGACCTTAAAGATCATCCAGTTCCAATGCCCCTGCCATGGGCAGGGAAAACTTCTTTTTAATTTTAATGGACTTTGGTTTTATTTATTTCATTCTCATTGATTTTATTATGCATATCAACAAGTTACATACACTTTTGATTCAACACCTAAAAAAATAATATATCCTAATCTGCTTATTTTATTGGTGTCATTTATCTTAATTCTCACAGGGACAGTATCTCTTACAAGGATTTTGAAATACAATATATTAATTTTATTTACTGTACACCTGGTAAGTCTGAAATATAACCACACTTCTTTTTTTTTCATGTTATTAGAAGAATGACACATCTGGAGAACTAGAACTTATTAAGTCATCTCTTCATTTTAATATATGCCACTTACGCTGTATAGTGTATGCAGAATAATTTAAACAACAGTAATTACCAAGCAAACATCTTTGTGTTGCAATAGTTTGCAGCACAGTTTGCCTGCTTCTCCTGAATGAACAACTGTGGGGTTTGGGGGGGATTAAGTAACTACAGAGGAGCAGAAACCTCAGCTGATTACTAGACATGTCCATCATTCAGTAGGGTCGTGTCTTGCTTTGCTTCATCTCCTGGGAATCAAGTTTTACACACTGAAAATTGACATAATTTCTTTGCTGGGGTGAGATCAGAATCAGACTGTGCTGTTTATGAACACCAGAGACAGAAGGCAAAAAAAGAGGGGAGACATGAAACATAACTCAGGAATATCGACTAAGCACCGCTTCACATCCAGATTTGGGGTCTGTTCCCAACCATGCTCAGCCATGTCCCCCGATAACACGGATGTGGAAGTTTTTGGAAACCAGTCCTTCAGGAGTGTGTTTATTTAAAGCTCTTTATTGACTTCTTCTGGACCTATTTAGGTTACTCTCAAGGAGTTTCCCGACTCAGGCCTTGGTGTTGCTGCAGGTTTTTTGAGCATTATTGAGCAGGAATATCCTTCTTCAAAGCCTGTAGATGTTTGGGGAGATTTTTTCATCTGACCTTTCTTCCACATCACTACGGGGGTGGATGGAGCACTCAAAGTATGTGCTTTACTTCTTTTTGATACCTTTAAAAGCTGGATAGTGAAGGACATTCCATGCATGTGACTACTGTTAGCACTGGTGTCTTTCCACTGCAATGTATGATCTCTCTGTGTCTCAACTTCTTCCACATGGATGAGTCCAGAAGCTGAAAAATAAGTGGATAACCAGCCTGAGGTTCTCTCCTTCTACACTTTCACAGCACTGCCTAATTTTAGTCGCTGCTTCCACGCCAAAACATTGGTATTTTAGATGCATTGGCTGGTCTGGATCACTTAAATGTGCCCCACAAGGAGAGGGGGGCAGAGGACACACTTCCAAATAGATGGGAGAGGCACCAGGTGGAGTGGGAGCAGGTGTTCTGTTCTGAGCATGGAAAAGCTGATATGGGGAGTAGAAGGCACAATGGAAACAAGGAGGCTTTCCAGCCTTCCAGCATCTACAGGGAAATACAAGAGAGCTGAAGAGGGACTTATCACAGTCATGGAGAGACACGACATGGGGAATGGCCTCAAGGTGACAGAGGGCAGGTTTAGATTAGATATTTGGAAAACTCTTTTCTGTGAGGGTGGTGAGGCCCTGGCACAGGTTGCCCAGAGAAGCTGTGGATGCCCCATCCCTGGAAATGTTCAAAACCACTTTGGACAGGTCTTGGAGCAACCTGGGATAGTGGAAGGTGTCCCTGCCCATGGCAGGGGATTGGAATGAGATGAGCTTTAAGGTCCCTTCCAACCCAAACCATTCTATGATTGGTTTTGAGCTGCGTGGAGTGAGACCCTGAGGAGTGGGATGTTACCTGTAAGCCACTTCCAGGAAATGGGGCATCAACAACTTTTCTGGACAACCTGTGCCAGTGCCTCACCACCCTCACAGGGAAGAACACCTTCCTAATATCCATGCTCTCACTTCAAACTGTTTAGATCTCTTTGCAGAAATCCCACAGTTGCCCATTTCTGGTTTTTTTTAGGTTTTTCTGTCCACCAAAACTGTCAGCAACGTCAAGGAAGTCGAGTCTGACACCTGAAATCCCTCATGTTCTCTAATGATTTGGCCTTGGGGAACAGAGGAGGACAAGACAAGCTTCCTTCAGCCCCTCTTTCCTGTGATCATCCCAAGGAGCAGCTCACACGTCAGGAGTGTTTCCATGGTTTCCGTGTCTGGAACAGACTGTGTGTGGTTCCATCCCATGCATTACTCATGACAGACACTGATGTTGGGGTGATTCAGGTGGGCTTTGGGAACTGGGAGTGATTATCTGAAATTATTTTTTTTTTTGCTGTTCCAACATACATTTTGAAGCAGAGTCACCAGGAGCAGATGAAGCATGAAGGGAAGAAAAAGTGTTGCTCTCAAGAGCAGGAAAAAAACAATGGGATGGGGTGAAATACTTGCAACCTGAAGGTTTTCCATACTCAGGTGGAAAACTCTGCCTGAAACAAATGGCCAAGGTACAATCCTGTGTCCAGGAACTCCTCCTCATCTTTTGCATGAGTAGATGGAAATAGAGGGCAGAAATTACTTTTCAAAATCTGCTGGAAATGGAAGGATCTTTTTCCCCGACAAGTTTCTCAAAAATATCCCTGAACACGCATTACTTCCCTTAAATAAGTAATTTTACAGGTCACCTACTGGTTTGAGGGTTTTTTACAGGTCACCTACTGGTTTGAGGGTTTTTTTGGCAGAGAATGGGGTTTTGGGGTTTTTTTGGTTGTTTTTGTTTGGCTTTTTTTGATGTTTTGTTTGTTTGTTTGTTTTGGTTGATTGGTTGGGGTTTTTTTTAATTTTTTTTGTTTAGCTTTTTTTCTGAGGTTGGTTGATGTTGCTTCTTTCCCCTCAAGAGTAAGAACTCTGTCAATAAATGGATTTTATCAGACTTGTCTGTGGGTCCAGACAATGAACTCCTTCCTTCTTTAGACATCAGCCCAAAAAAGATCTTTGAAAAAATGTTTTTGAGAGAAAATTTCAGTAGCTACAATGCTTTTTTCCCCCCAAAATAAAACCCCAAATATCAAAAAACCAAAAAGGCTTACCTAAAATCCCTCCCCACTTGCTTAAGAGTGTTTTCAGCAAAGGACCATCATTTTCTGAACAGTTCAATTTTTATCTGTCAAAAGACCATCAAGTGTCTTCCAGTTGTCATGGAGAATGAACTCACTTGCCTAGACTTGGATACTCTGACTTTAAAAGGCCCCTAAAAGGTCTTTCTCTGGGATAGCAAAGGATCATTAGCAACTGGAGTTCAGGCAGTTTCCAAGGGCAACAAGGGAGCAGGTTCTGCTGTGCCCTGGGTTCTCATCTTGGTGGGGTCCAGTGTAGTATAAACAGAAACCAAAGGAGGGTAATAGATGCCCAAAAATAAGTCCAGCCCTCATAATATTCTGGGCTTAAAATATACTGCCCAAGCAAAAATAGTAAGAATTCATGTTCACTGTCTGAGTTAGTCCCTTATTGTGATGGCAGGTTAGTGGACACCTCTAAGGCTCACTGCAAGCTCAGATAAAAATATCATAGAATCATGGAATAGTTTGGGTTGGAAGGGACCTTAAAGACCATCCAGTTCCACCTCCCTGCCATGGGCAGGGACACCTTCCACTAGACCAGGGTGCTCCAAGCCCCATCCAGTCTGGCCTTGGACACTTCCAGGGATGGGACATCCACAGCTTCTCTGGGCAACCTGTGCCAGGGCCTCACCAGCCTCACAGGGAAGAACTTCTTCCTAATATCTAATCTAAAATAATAAAATACCTAAATAATATAATAATATAAATTATTAAAAAATAATAAAATAATATCTAATCTAAAATATATCCATAAAAGATATCTAATTTGCATTTTCAAAGATTCTTATACATGTTGACATTTAAGATGGATGTGGCTTGTTGATGTTGTTGGGAATGGAGGACAGCAGGTTGAGATACAGCTGCAGGTTGCACATGGAGTACAGAGACCAAACTCTGCTTGGTCCTCAGCAATCCAGTATTTGTTTTATGTGGCCTGAAGACACTCCTCCCTTTCTTCTTCTTGTTAGTAGGAGAAAATACTCTTCTCTGAGTGAGGCTGGAGCTTTATGTACTGATTTTGGTACCATGCACTAAACACTGGTGTTGTCACATTTCCCCTCAGTCTGGATGCGGCCGAACATGTGACTGCATCGAAGCAGAACCAAGATGGAAAGAGAGCTCCTCTCCTGCTGCATCTCCTGATCTGAGTGGCACCACGTGGTCTGTAATGACCATCTGTTGATTATTTGTCTCCTGAAGATTGATGGATGTGATTCACGGCCCTTTCAAAACAGGGCTGCTCCCTGACAGAATTGCGAGAGCCTCTGCGAGCACAGCAGGAGGGGGGTGACTTTCAAAGCAGAGAATGAAAGAGTGACAAATAGATCCAGATCTTCCATTTATTTATTTATTTTTTTCAAAGGGCCTTTGTGCAGTCTTACCAAAAGCCCTGGACTCTTAGTGGGGTCTCATGGGAGATTTTCCTATATTTTTTTGAGCTATTCATGTGACAAATAGTTGCACAAAAGTTTTTGCTGCTGAGGTGGGCAAGGCTTCTCCAAGACCCTGGGATAAGGGTAGCTTTAGATTAAATATTAGGAAGAAATTCTTGACTGTGAGGGTGGGGAGGCACTGGAACAGGTTGCCCAGAGAAGCTGTGGCTGCCCCATCCCTGGAAGTGTCTAAGCCAAGGTTGGATGGGGTTCTGAGCAGCCTGGTCTAGTGGAAGGTGCTCCTGCCCATGGTATGGACGATCTCTTAGGTCTCTTTCAATGCAAACCATACTCAGGTTCTAAGGAAAAAGAAAGTCAGATTTCCTATAGCAATCCCAGAAGCTTCCTATACCTGGAATCTTGGTAAGGTGTGATATAAGTCCCCTCCTGCTGGAGTCTGGTCTGAGCCTGTAATTGAGCACTCTGAGTTGGGACTCCCAGGCAGCAGCTTCCCCTCTGAGACCTCTCAGAGCCTTCCCCTCTGGGACTTTATGCAAGAGATTTCAACTACACTTTGCCTGCATTTCTCTTATTTCTGGAACAGAAATAATACTTTCTTAAATCACTGAAATGTTACAAAGGTAAAATTGCAAAAGAAAATTGAAAGATGAAATTGAAAAGGTAAAACTGAAAGGTGGAGTTGAAAGATTGTGTTTCCTTAAGAAAAAACCCACTAAACAACAAAAACAAGCAAACACACAAACAAAAAAACAGGAAAAAATCACAAGTTAATTACTGCTGAAAGTAACTTTTTTGCAGCTGAGGCACATGATGTCTCTGTTTACTCCCAGGATGGGTGGAGGACAAGCAACAGCCAGATAATCTGGAAATTAAAGAAAGAAAAGTCAACATGTTGAAATGATGTATTGTAGTCATTAGTAACAGCACTGCAATAACCCAGCTTTCAGCACATTTCCAAATGCCCATTTTCTTATAATAAGAATAATTTTCCTACCTGTTCTCCCAAATCCCTTTAAACAGTGCTGGGGTGATGCTGTTCTACTTCCCCCGAAGTGGCTCTTGCATTATTGCTGAGGAGGGAACAATATGAAGATAATACAGGCTTTTATAGAAACAAGTCTCACAGGCATGTTTTCCCTGTGGAAGTTGCTCCAACCATTATGTGCCTTAGGCAAAGCTTTTCACTGTCCTGCTGTGGAGAACTGTTCTGGAATCCCTCCACCAAGGAGGAGAGGGGCCCTGCAACACGGAATCACACAATGGGTCAGGTTGGAAGGGACCAGAGTGGGTTGAAAGGGACCACAGCGGGTCATCTGGTCCAACCTCCCTGCTCAAGCATCCCAGAGCACATGGCACAGGATTGTGTCCAGAGAGTTCTTGAACATCCTCAGAGAGGGAGACTCCACACTCTCTCTGGGCAACTTGTTTAGGGACCACTTGACGGAAAGCTTGGTTGTACCTTTCTTTTGGCATCCACACTTAGTTCACTTATGAGCTTTGCAGGCAGATCTGCTACCAAAAGAAGCTTTATCTAAACCCCTGGTGGCATCATCAGGCAGAAGACATGATGCACATTTCTTCCTTCAAGGTTTCCACAGGTTTTGGTTGAAGCAGAAAAAGCCATAATATCACCTACTCAAAGGACTAAATTTGTAGGGACTAAATTTATACATAATTTTACCTGACTACATGGAAGGATTTTCTCCGTGTCTTTGTCAGAGTTGAGAGCGTTCAGATTTTCTCTGTAACACTCTCTGACATGGAGAGCAAATGCCTTAAAGATACTTTAGTGGAGACACCCAGTGCAATCTGGTACTTCACACACATTGGAATGAGCTGCAAAATCACCAACCCGAGTTATTGCTGTTATAGCTGGGCAGGCTGTAAACTGCTCAATTAGGCTGCAAAGCTCAAACACCCACCTTTAAATAAGACAGAACTACCAAAAAAAAAAATAAGAAGGAATGGTTGGACCAGAAAAGATCATATCCCAGCTCTCTGCCCAAGGGAGCTGTGGAGGGGCAGTGAATTTTGTTCACATATAGGGAAAGGGCCTCAATTTCCTCCACGGGAGGTTTAAATTGGGTAATAGGAAAAAATTCTTCACTGAAAGTGTGGTCAAGCATTGGAACAGGCAACCCAGCAAAGTGGTGGAATCACCATCCCTGGAATTGTTCAAAACACATGTAGATGTGGTTCTTAGGGACATGGTTGAGTGATGGACGTGGCAGTGTTGGATTAACGGTTGGACCCGATGATCTGGGAGGTGTTTTCCAACCTTAATAATTCTATTATTCTATAAAATTACCACACCTTTGTGAAATCTCTCCCTGCCTTGCTGTTGCCCTCGTGTTTCGTCTCACCTTCCCTTGTGGATCAGCCCCCACTCTCAGCTTCCTGACACCACCCATGAAGAGTTTTGGCATTATCTCACTGTACTGGATTGCTGGCCAATAAAATATTAGGTAGAATTCGGTGGCATTAAATCCAGAGCGTTGCACACAAGGAAAACAACAGTTCCAACCCTGCGTGCGCAGCGATGGGCTCTGAGCTGGTTATTGCTACCCAGGAATGACATTTGGGTCTTGTAATGAACAGTCGAATGAAATTATGAGCTCATTGCTCTGTAGCAATCAAAAGAGGAAATTGAATGTTCAGG